TAATTTTAAATTATGTTAACCCATTTAGTTGATTAATAATTAATTCCTTCTTATTCATCAAAAATTTGAACTGCTAATATCTAAGAAAAAGTTTAAATGCAAACCTAAATTAAAATATGGATAGGTTCTCAAATTCCTATGCATATATGTCTTTTTGAGATTAAGCGCTTTAAGTAATAATTCAAACAACTGCAAGAATTTGTTTAGAATCAAAAATTTTTATCTTCTTAAAGTATTTTTGTGCTCTTGATGTTTTAGAAAAATATCATAAATAATATAAATATCCATAATAATTCATTAATTTAATAATTCATATGTTGAATATCCTTACTAATTGTCATCCCAATATACCAAATATTACCCATTATTTGTGATAGTTCCTTAAATACAAATTGTTTCACAATTGAGTTAATGATAAATTTTGTACTTGGCATCATTAATTTCTCTGATGATATAAATATATGTCTTATGCCTAACTAATATCAAATTCCTCTCTTTATTATAAACAATTGGAAAACGATATTCATCTAAAATTTGATTATTTGCAATTAATTAAATTGCCTTGTCCTTATTTTCTTAAAAGATTCCTTATTCTATTTCAAACACATAAAGTTTATCTATTTCTTCACCACCAGTTATCCAAATAAATTAATTATCTTTAATAAACTTAACCTTAAGTCCTTTTTCTTAAATTGATTATTTAACAAAATACTTGAATTCAAACTGATTATTTTGTCTCCTTTCCCAAATAATAATTTGATTCTAACCTTTTGCACATGATACTAATTTATCTTCTGATTAATTTAAACTTAATGACGTAACCTAATTATTATGTTTATCTAATGAATATAGAAATATTAATTAATTTTGATTAAAGTCAACCTTCCAAACTTTGATTGATTTGTCATTACTTCCAGAAAATAGTAAATCCTCATTTTAATTTAATAGAATGCAAAAAACATAAGATGTATGTTATTAATAAGGTTATGAACTAATCCAATCATATTAGTTCAATTATTGCCAGCATCTTATTGTTTTGTCAAAAGAACATGAAATAAACGAATTCTATTTTTTACTATAAACTAAACATTAGACCCAATCGGTATGTCCTTACAATGTTTGTACTAATTTGATTGTCCCATTTAGAAAACTCCATACTTTAATCTCAAACTTCTCGGTTGATACCATAATTGACCCAGAAGAATCGAAAACTATTACATTACATTATTCCTCTTATTTGACAGATTAATCAATTAATTTTAATTTGATCTCTTATTTTTATGGCAAATTAAAATATTGATTCCATTATTATCTTTATACCAATAAATCTTAAGTCCAATCTTCAGCTATTCTAATAATAGAATCCAATAATTTCATAAAATATGTCTTAAATTCCTATGTGCTTGTTATACACATATTGATATTTTGAATTGTGTTAGAAGTAATATCTGCTAAATTGCTCATCTTTTTCTCAATAGCATCCTCAATATGCTAAATTAATTTTTTAAATCCCATTGTCCTCCCATTTTAATCATAATTTTCCAGGCATTGAATGCACAAAAATCTTTCTTTCATTTTGATGTTTGGATCAAGCATAACCAAATGTATTGGCTAGCCATGATTATATTGACAACAAATATCTTTTTCATTTTCTATCATTTTTGGTTAAAACATTTAATTAAATTAATAAAATTTATTAATTGAGGTTGAGATTATAAACTTTAATCCTTAATAGATTATAATCGTAGTTCATTCAAATGAAAGAGTTTAAAGCGACCCTTTACTAATTTCTCAAAATTTGAGTACAAATTTATCATGAAAAACTTACTTAATTAATGAGTTATATTAATATTTTCAATAACATCAAAGCCTCTTAAATTCTGAATATTTACCAAACAATAGAAAGGAACAAATAAATCAATTAGATTGTAAGCAGAATCTAATTGAGCTATATGAACAATTAATAAATTGTTAACACTTACTGTTGCTTTAAGCACATCAATTTGAATCTATCGAAAGCTAAGATAAAAAAATATCGAATTTAAAAACTCAAATGCTCTAACATGGATGAAAAATACAGCTTATTATTGATTTACAAAAAATTTCTATTTTTGA